TTTCAAAGCAAATAATGTATGTAACAATATATGCCAAATCAAACTAAGATCTTTTTTTTTGGCCTCTTTTTTTTAAAATTATATTATGATTTATGGTTTATTTTTAATCTCATTGAAGGTGCAAACAACAAAAGCCAATGAATTCACTAAGCACGTCTTCAGGTGTAATTTACGCTCAAACGTTGGCCTTGTCGCTTTTAACAACTACCACAAAATAATCGTCACGGTAAATTTGTGACACTGACTGTGAACTGCAAAATAAAGTGGCCAAATCGCAGAGACTGCATGTTGAATAATTTTTATTCCTCATGTATTTATTTTTTTTTTCATTTTCAGGATGAAAGCTAAAGTGGATCATTGTACCTCTCAGTGCGACGCTGAAACCTATTAACTGTCATCTTTTTATTTTTCGGTTAATGTGTCTTAAAGCCCGGCATTTGCATGTCGTTTAAGTCGGTGTGTGCGAAGAACCACGATTGTTATTAGTGATAATTTCTCTTTAATTGAATTGGGGTCTGCATGCACGACTGATACTGCCGATGACACACACTTTCACACAATACCGTCCTCGTTCTCCTCTCCCGCCCGGCAGCTGGGCCTCGTTGGGAATATCTAATTGAAAATAGAATCAGCCAGTGCTCAGCATGAGAAACTAATCACTCCAAACTTATCAGCAGAATGGGCAGGCTGCTATTTGGCCGTTTCATTTCCAAATCAGAGAAATCGGAATTGCCAGAATGCACTGCAACAATGCAAAAAACAAACAAACAAAAAAACAGTAAAAGTTCCTCTGTGTGGAAATCTATATTATAGGTCATGTCTTGTATATTTGTCGTAATTTAGCTTCATGCTGTTTGTTGTGTTTGCAAAGTTAAATGTGTACATATCTGTGTATGCATTAAAACATAAAATCCAGATGACTTATTTTTTTTAATAAATCATATTATAATTACTATGATCTTAGTTATGATAGTGGATACTATTCTGAATAATTTTTTAAAAAGTAAATTTTAGTTTTATAATTGTGTGTGTGTATTACAGGCCATATTAAAATATAATATTAAAAATATTAATAAAATTAACAATATAATCAATTCAAAATAATTCCATATCCTAACAAAGCCTAACAAATCAATTTTTGTTTTTTTTTGGAAATCACATTCTGATTGTTACGTGTTGTGGATTCCAATATATACTATATTCTATGTATTTATGAATGTGTGTTTTAGGTGCATGTTTATAAAGATAGCGCTGTACCATTAGTCATTTCATTAGTATTAGTGCATTTATTATTTATGTATTATTTTGTAAAATATTACCTGTATAAATGTGTGTCTTCTGATATTTGGTTTAAATGATTCATTATGGTTGTTTTAGGTGTAAATGTGTGCAAAGGTGATACAAGAACCTGATAGTGAATAGCTACAGCGCCCCATGCCGACACAAAATCCGGGGATACATCCACCTAAACCTGAGCACACTCGTAGTGTTATGGCGCTTTTCCACTGCGTGGTACGACTCGGCTCGGTACGCAATAGAAGTGATGCAGGTTTTCTCTCCCGCTCTCTCTCCCCCTTCTGCCTCTCTCTTCCTTTTTTCATATGGAAATGTGAAATAATAGGGTGATTAAATAGAGCTGTATATTAAAGTACAGCTGACATTAGAATTAGCATAATGTGCTCTCGCCTCGGGCTGCATACTTTATTTGCCATCTGCGTCGGACTCCAATCCCCACGGGAGTGCAGGCGCTGAACACTTCTCAATAAACTCACGCCCGAGTCCCTTCAGCACGGCCACAAATACCATTTCAGGCAGCAGCCATTGATTCGTCTTAATTGTGGGGCAGAAATGAACATTCGGCCCCCTGATGACTTCTGTTTGTCTGCGAGAGGATCAGCTAGTACAGTAGCCCGTGTTTTACGCCCTGGCAGTTAGCATAGAGAAAGGTTCTCTCTCTCTCTCTCTCTCTCTCTCACATACACACACACACACACAATGGAAAAGGACAGTGCCTAGTAAACACAGACACTACTTGTTTTCTAGGCCTCCTTTACATGGAGCATTAGTCTTTGAAAGCATCTGCCATAAAACAACAAGAGGAGGTTGGAGGATTGTGTTTGTGTGTGTGTGTGTTTTGCGTGTATGCATATATGTAGGCCTTGAGAGGCTGGGGGGAAAAAGATGGCCATTGTGTGGAGCTTACGCTCTGTCCACTGTAATTAAGTCAAAAGCTTTACAGGACAAGGGTAGAGGTAAACAGATGTTCTTATGAATGCACATCAGCCACATAATAACATCTAGTGGAGAATGCTTATTTTTTTCTCAGTGAACCTTTAAAATGCATTTAAGTGCTTGTAAATGTTTCATCTTTGAATGTTTTTTTTTTTTTTTTTTTACATTTAAAAGGGCATTGATTGAACATTTCTTTCTAAGTGTCATACATATCAGCTAGCACACATCATCTGACAGAAGCTTTTTGTTTTAACCCTCATGTTCTGTTGAGAGCGAATGTTTGTGCTTTATGTTTGAGGTCTCACATGGTATAAGTAATAATCTTAAAAGGAATTTTGAAATTTAACATCCTCCTCATTTACAATATTATTTTTTTTGTAAATTATTATGAGATATTGAAACTCAATAGGCAAACATTATTGCAGATTTAACTTATCTGTTGTAGTAAATATGCACCTTTCAGAATTGTGACTGATATCAAATATAGTAAATTTGTTTATGTTTGAGGTCAATTTGACCATAGCAAAAAATTTAAAGCATGCATTAAAGCAGTGGTTGTATTTGGTGTATTGTGTATTTCTTAGTGTTTACACCAATCTGAAACTGATGTCAGCATATGTTTTTTTTTCAGCAACTTTTTTTTTTTAACACTATAAAAAGAATTTATGATTTTTCCTTGAGGATGTTTAAAGGATATTATCACCTTTGCTTATAATCAGATTTTATAAGATTAGGAAAAGTCATTAAGAATCAACCTGATATTTAAATTCTAAAAAAAAAAAAAATTGCATTGGGTCAGACCCCAAACAGGAAATGAAGTGTAAACTATTGATAATGGTATTTCTCTAAGCACAAAAGAATGCTATGATACCTGTGGAAGAAAATGCTTTTTTAAATGTTGTTAATGTGGCACTTTTGAAATCTTCATATGTGCATGGCACTTCTCATTTTTTACTGATTTACATTTTTGTGTGCTTACTATTCAAATTCCTTGATGAAATATTGCATCTCAGTATACCAATAAGATGAAGCTTCAGGCTATTGCTGTATATAATCCCTTGTCTCTGTCTCTTTCAGATGAAAACACACTCCCATGTTTAGCATTGCTCTTCAGCAACATGTAAAGGAATGCTAGAACAGATACTAACCATTCATTCTCTCTGCTCTTTTTGATCCTTCACAATGGCCATGATTGAAATAGACACCCATGAGGGCTTCCTAGTCCCAGCTCCTCCGAGCCCTGTGTGTGACTGCCACCCCATTGTTCTCTCCGCAGCCGCTCGCTCTCGCACACATACATATACATGAAAACACTCATAAAGGTACACAAAGCACAGCCAGAAATCAAATACCCGAACAATTACGGCAGCATATGTTTTTCTGCGTATCCTAAATTGCTGCATTAGGTCAGAACAGCAAGCTTTCATTTAATAAATAAATGAAACTCATTTCCTAGTGCACAATTACCATTTCGACTTTGTAGATCTTTTTTTTTTTTTTACACCAGTGCCCCTGGAATACAGCAGAGATGGTTTAGCATCCCTTTTCATTGTATACTCCGTACACTTGGCTTGTTTGTGCTGCCATGGTAATGAGTCCCCTTTGCATGGCGGAACTGGTGTAACAGTGAAGTTGCAGCATCAATTAGTCATGTATAGTTAAAGCTCCAGAGCTGCACCAAGCACAGGAGCCACTTTTTAACACATCCTCTGATCCGAGAACTGATGCTGTTCACACTTTACCTGAACCCAGAGTGTATGCAGACTTCACACATTCACTTGCTGGTATTTAATTATATGATTAAAACTGTGGAATACGGAATAAAACTGTTATCAGTGAAACTGTACAATTAATTCACTAGTGAGCCTTTTTTTTTTTGTAATCAAACTTGCTCTGAGTAGCAGTGATTCACTGTGATGTCATTAAGGGGGGAGGGGGCTTTCCAGGAAGTGTAACTATAGAATAAGATAAAAACGTGAGAGGAAGTAAGAAAAACAATCTTGAGAAATTCTTAATGGAACAGTAAATAATACCCTTGAGCTGTTTTAAATGCCACAGACTTTAACTCTCACACCGGTGTGCTTTTTTCCTCTGAGCCTCTTAAATCACAGGCAGTGTTTTCACTCTTTATTTGAAACCATTTATCTTGATGTGTGCTCCCCCTTCCCCCAACCCATACCCTTCTCTCTCATTTTTTATTTGTTTCTTTGAGGGGACAACTTAAGTTTATTTGTTTGATAGTGATGAGAGTCCCCTAAATCACAGTTTAAGTTGTACTTCTCCAATTTGGTGGCATATTACTCTGGCATCCTAGTACAGTCTCAGTGCTTGGAGGGTTTCCCAGTTTAGAGTGTTCTTGCCTGACATTATGCTTCTAAAATGAGTCAGCCGTTTGTAAAAGCGAAGATTAAAGGCAAGTTGAAATGGGGAATGCAATGTTCCCACAGCTCCAACCCTTCGTGGAGCAGTATGGCAATGCACTTGTCACAGCTCTGTTAAGTATGAGTTGCCCTGTTCATGTGACAGCCTGATGGGTGCACGAAAATGGCCATAGCCCAAAGTGTCAGATACCTCAAAGTTTGTTCTTTGTAACATGTAATCATGCTTGACCCTACGCCTCATTCTTCATCAAGTCAGATCTACTTTTAGTGGGTTATTTAACAGGACTAAATTTCTAGCATTATGACACAAATGTTGTGGAAGTGACCTGCAGAGGTTTTAAACTCAAACATAAATAAAGATCTTTGTTGTTTTCTGCTTGGTTGCAGGTAGAGATGAACCTTCGAGTTACATATGCACGACGTGCAAACAGCCCTATTCCAATGCCTGGTTCCTTCTGCAACACGCTCAGAACACGCATGGGATACGCATCTACTTGGAGACCAACCCCTCGAATACCTCCCTGACCCCACGGATCACTATTCCTCCCCCCATTGGTGCTGAATCCATACCACAGTCCCCGTTAACCAGCTTTTTAGGGGACAACAACCCCTTCCACCTCCTACGGATGACTGGGCCCTTACTCCGAGAGCCCCCACCTGGCTTTGTGGAAAGCCGCCTCCCTAATACGCCTCCTTTTGTCAGCCCCCCTCCTCGCCATCACTTAGATCCCCATCGCCTAGAACGCCTTAGTGCAGAGGAAATGGGTTTAATCTCCCAGCATCCCAGTGCCTTTGAGAGAGTGATGCGCATGACACCCATGGCCATGGAGTCCCAGTCCATGGATTTCTCCCGCCGACTTAGAGAGCTCGCTGGAAACAACAACTCCACTCCACCGCTGTCACCAAGCCGTGCAAACCCTATGCATCGCCTCCTCAATCCCAACCCCTTCCAGCCCAGCCCGAAGTCGCCCTTTCTGAGCACCCCTCCACTACCTCCCATGCCCCCTAACAGCACCACCCCACCGCAGACACTGGCCAAGTCGAAGTCCTGTGAATTCTGTGGCAAGACCTTCAAGTTTCAGAGTAATCTGGTTGTTCATCGGCGAAGCCACACGGGCGAGAAACCCTACAAGTGCCAACTGTGTGATCATGCCTGTTCTCAGGCTAGCAAACTGAAACGCCACATGAAGACCCACATGCACAAGTCTGGCTCCATGACAGGGCGTTCTGATGATGGCCTGTCCACCACTAGTTCACCCGAGCCAGGCACTAGTGACGTCACTGGGGAGGGTATGAAGAACAGAGACGGTGATTTTAGAGGTGAGGGCATGGGCCCTGAAAATGAAGAGGAGGAGGAAGAGGAAGAAGAGGAGGAACTAGAAAATGAAAGCAGGCCTGAGTCAAACTTCAGCATGGACTCGGAGTTCAGTCGGAATAGGGAAAATGGCTCAAAGCCACCTTCGGATGAGAAGAACCTCTCCTTGGGGAAGATGGTGGAAAACGTAGGGCTCAGCTCCATCCAACAGTACAATAACTTAATAGTCGACAATCGGAAAAGGCTTCCGTTCTCCAAAAGGATGTCAGAAGGGCAGAGGGATGCCGGTGACCGTGATTCAGTAGCAAGGGAAATGGACCAAGTGGAGCGGGCAACTGTGAACGGAAGGAACTGTGGCTCGGGTGACTCTTTCTTAGGCCTGTTTCCCCGCAAGCCCACTCCCATCACCAGCCCCAGCCTCTCCAACTCCTCTAACAAGAGGATCAAAATCGAAAAGGATTTGGACATACCCCCAGCCCCCCTAATCCCATCTGAAAACGTCTACTCCCAGTGGCTAGTGGGCTATGCAGCATCCCGCCACTTCAAATCAAAAAAAAAAAAAAGGGAAAATTTATTTGGAGCCGCTATAAACCACCCATATATGAGTGGATACATTAGACAATATTTTAAATGGAGCCTTTAACTGTGCAATAATTTCTGTATTTATTGGATTTTTTAATGTTTTGGCATGTGCAGGTTCATTTTTATTTCATAATTTTTTTTTATTCCATTACCTTATGATTTATTTCAAATGCTGAGATTTTGTTTAAACCCAAAAGACATCCTGAGATTTTTGTTTGTTTGTTTTTAGCAAAACAGAGTATCGTTTGAGAAATCCATAGGCCGCTGCTTACAATGTAGATTATTTAAGCTACACATGTAATTTCTTGAAGAGAAGCCGCATTCAATCTTTAAATTTTGAAAGCTGAATTGAGAAAGCTTTGTCTTTCTTTTTGTTTTCCTTTTTTGTTTATTATTCACACTTACGAAATGAGCGGACAACAATCCTTAGACCTTGTAGCACGAACTGATTTTAAGCATGTCAATCTAATTGGGAATGTAGCACTGAATATCAGTTCTAACAGTAAATCTAAAGAGAACTGTGGGGCTGAAGACCTCCGTCTACTCGAAATCAAGGAGAGGAGACTATAAAGACAGACAAAAGTGAAGGCAGCTGCTTATCGGTACCTAGTACCGACCCAGACAACGCTAGTCAAGTATGGATTGTGTTATAGTTCTCAATAGTCAATTTTATTTGCCAGCGCCCTTTCCATAGACACTGCACTTAATCAAACCCATTTGATTTTGCTGAACAGCACAATAGTAGTAGAAGGAAGACGGCTTTAAAACAACTCAGGGTGAGCTGCATAGCTACTTCTGCCAAGTCTGCTATCTGATCTCAGCCGTCTTCTCTGATAAAGCAGTCCGGTCCTCTGGTTCAGCTCATTCACAACCCTCGCCTCGTCTCCACACTTCATATTACACTGCCAACCACCCCTAAATGTCATGAATCAACTCCATCTTTCCCATAAAAGTGGCTTGTCATACTACATCGTTGTTAAGTTAAAGGAACAGACGTCTAGGCCAGAGGATGAAGCAGTTTTCGTACACTAGGAGAGTGATTTAAACACACACACACACACACACACACACACACACAGGAAGAGAAAGAGAGAGAAGGATCTTTACAGTCCAATTCGGGTTAGTAAACCTAAAAGCACATTAGTCAAAGCAAGGCAGCACCACTGTTCTGTTTCCGTTGACTGACATTTAAATCTAAACATTGTTATTTTGTGTTCAGTTCTGTTGTTTCATTTTTGGGTATTAGGTTCTGAGGTTCTAGACGGAGTCACCACCTTAACCAGATTAGATTAGAATGAATTCAATTATACTTTCAGCAATGTTGTCATTCTATTACAATGTTTCTTAAATCACTTGAAACAGCCCTATGCATTTTTGTACATATATATATATTTATCAATCATTTTGAGAAACAAATTTATACTGCACAGTGAATCTGATTATAGTTATAAAACGTGTATGATATTGATTTATCTGGTTAATCTGGTCATGTCCCGTGTGTCAGAGCCATCAGCAGGTATGCAGATTAGTCAATTGCACAGTAAAGAGTGTATGTCATGACCTGTTGAGCGTGTGCTAAAACAGTAAGACAATTTTTTTCTTTCTTTCTTCTCATTCAGGACTTCCTGTGATGTGTAGTTGAACGCATTCTCAGAAGTAGCAACACGCTTACAGAATGCACAGCTGAATTTTCCCTTTTCTTTTCTCTTCTATCCAACTGATTTATTGGCAGTTAAACAGCCTTCTTTCGACAAGATGCCCTAACCAGCGCAAACAATTGAAGCGAGGGAATATCGTGGTTTTAAAAAGAGCAAAGCAAACTAATGAAACAGAAAGAGAGAGAGAAAGAAAGAAAAATAAACGTACGCAGCTCTTCGCAATTGACCCGCACTTTATTATTTTGATTTACATATTTGAAAACAATAGCGAAAACGGCTTCTGAGCAAGAAATTATGTTCAAATACAAATTTATTGGGCCTTGCTAGAGGGAGCATCTGAGATTGAAGTGCCAGTGTTGATAGGCTTGGCTTTCACAATGCTGGCACTATAAAAATGAAATTAATTTATTTGGACAGTTTTTGTACTGCCATTCAATTTGACATGAGTGTGCCTTGAATACTGATCTTCCTATTTATTGTCTTATAAGACAAATGCAACACTTTTGTGAAGCAAAGAATTGAAAAAAAAAAAAACAATTAAGTCCATGTGGTTTTAATCTGCTTCTAGAGGAATAATGATAAAAACAGATACATAGGTCACTTATAGAACTGAAATGAAAAGTAGTTGAAGTTGAACTAAAATGAAAAGTAGCCAGAACAATACTAATGTGTGTCTATGTGTGTATATATATGTATGTATATGTACATATAACTGCACAAAAACAGACACAATAGGCAAATATATATAAATATGTATATGTAAAATTTTTCACTTCAGGACAAGACTGCGTCCCTTGAAAATAATGGATGATTCTTTTGCTACAAATAGTCAAGGAAGAGACTGGACAAAAATCAGGAACTACAGAAACGTAAAAAAAAAAAGAAATAATAATAATTTTAAAAAAAAAGTAAAACGTTTAGTGCACTCTGTCTTAAAATACGTTTACAGTATTGAAACAAGTACAAGGGTAAAATGATATTTCTGTGTATGTATTGGAGAATGCCTGGGCATTTTACAAAAAAGAAAAAGAAAAAAAAAAGGAAATAAAAGAAAAAAATAGTTTTTCCCAATTATTATTTCTTTGTCTTTTCTTTTTTTTCTTTCTTTTAAATTAATTTCATTTCGCAGTCCAATTTAAATTGTGGGTCTTTAAAATGTTTTGTCACTGTAACTGTAAAAGTCTTGAGTTTTAGTAATTTTTCTGCCTTGGGTGTAAGAAAATAAAGATGAAATTGATTAAAAGAGAACTGCAATGGGGCCAGCGACATTTATGTATGGAAAGATGATCACAGGAAAAATACTGAGGTTCCTGTCATGTGTATTTTCTGGTTTCTTCTTCGGTAATGGATTTTCTTAATGGCTGGAATGAAATACATGTGTAGGCACTATGATGTGTTTATGTGTGTGTGTGTGTGTGTGTGTGTATATATATATATACTGTATATGTACACACATTTGGCAGGATACAATTGTGAAAATTGAAATTAAAAATGTACAGATGAGTTTACGAGGTTGTCTGACCTTTTACTGTAGCTACATATACAACAGTAAATGTTTTGTTCACTCTTGTCTTGGTTGTAAATAATTTTATATGCTTGCTCAGACTTTGTTTTATTTCTCTCTCTTTCTTGATCTTTTTCTTTTTTTTTAATTTGTGTGTTCTGACTAGCACTGGCAACAGTCTGTCTTTTTTAAAACAAAGCCCCCGACTGTCCTCTGATTTGTGGGGCGTAATACCTGATTTCTGGGGCCTGTAAAGTTCAGGTCTTTTAGCATGAGAAGAATAGAGCACAAATACAAGATGTTATACCTGTCCAAGTCATTATTGTGTCATCATTTTCTGATCAGGAAGTAAAGAAAAAGGTCTGGAAAGTTTGGAAGGTCTTTCTCTTTCTGTCTGTCTCTTTCAGTCTCCCTCCCTCTGCACACACACACATACACCCACAGGAAACAGGCTCGCTCATAATATGTCTAAAATAATCGACACAGGGGACTTTCAAATGTGTAGGTAACAGGATAGCCGAGCCAAACCTCGCTGTGTATGATCTTCTCTTCAATTGTGTGCAATTCACATCAAAGCTTTTTGCCTCCAACCACAGGCTACAATTAAAGTAATCAAGAGCTACTAAAACTGACCACACTCATACAGACACGAATCAATCAACCTGACCCACCATGTATACTTTCAAACCCTTTCCCAGAATGTATTAGCTTCTGGTATCTGCGTCTTAAAAAAGATGTGGCACTTTGTGGAGGTCAGAGAGCTCTGTACGACCACTCATTTATACAGTACGTTCATCTCAAATTGACAATTATGTTCACTTGTGTTATACTAGTTGTTTTTGAAGGCCGCCCTTTTGTGTACATTTTGTTTTTTGTTTCTCCCATATTTCTTCCAAGCATTAGACGCTGATGCCCCTTGTTTGGACTGAGGCAACTTTGGTATGCAGGTCTTGAATAAAAAAACAAGAATTTTTACTGCTGTTTACTCTTTCTTTCACATTTCACGATTCTTCATAATGCTTATATTTGTTATTATTGCGATATAAAAAAAACTTTTATACGTAACTGACATGAAAACACGAGTGGGTGGAGCCATACAGGGAAATGTTTTACATCACACACAACTACGTCACATACAGATTAAAGCAAGACCGATGCTATAACACTACTGCAATCTAAACATAATTGGCTCCCGGGCATGTTCTTATCGTGTGGCAAATCTTAAGGGAACGCAAGACTTTTTAGTGCACATAAACATATTTGTTTGTGTTTAAAATTCTTATGTGTTTTTAGTGGCAAACAGTTTTCAGAGGCTGACAAGTGAGACTGCATTTAGGCAGAATGAAAAGAAAAACAAAAAGATGCAAACTACCTCACGCACTCGTCTGTCATTATGAGGCCATTTTGTGGAGAGTGGCAGAGCTCCATGAGTCGGAAGGATATGGAGCCCCTCCCGGGACCTGACGAGAGTGGGTAAGCTGACTGATGGCAGGCTCTGCAGGTGCCCCATCCGTCGCGGGCCCTGGGCGGTGAATTAGAGCTCATCCTGACTGCTACGGCATCATTAAGCCCCCTCGTATCCAACTCTCCACGGTGTTAAATACCCCGACGTTATGCTCTCCCTCGGCCAGCCATCGAAACCTCTCGGCACATCCTGGAGAGGTTTAAAACTTCACTCGCTTAAAAAAAAAAGGTCTGGATTACCCCCTGTGTAAGATTAAAAACATGGAAAAAGTATAGAAGAACTTTATGAACTGGCCAAATAAAACACCCTCGATATAGCATTCCATGCACAGCCCACAGTGCTGAGGTGTTATTTAGTGCAAAGCAAACACTGCTATAAAAAATGACTATATCGTACTCTAAAATAGCTCCAAAATTCACATCAATCAGGCAGGG